CGTTAGCGGGTGGTTCACACCCCACCGTGCTGCTCCCGAGCTTGGACAGGACCCATGCTCCCATGAGCGTCCACCAACTGCTCCCACCCACTGGGTGATGCTGGATTCAACTCTCCCTTTCCCACTGTGCCCACAGTAAACAGCACTTAATTTTACTGCATCTACCGTTAGGGCACGTGGCGTAGGTGGGTGGGGGGCCTTCAGTACCCTACACCAAAATATAACAAAATTCAGATTTTCTATCCTAACGTTTCATAACACAGGAAGACATGAATCCAAAAGATTTGGCTTTTCAGGGCCTGTTTTGTCTCGGGGAAATGAGAAAGCTCATTCTCCTTAAAGCACACAAAGCCCGTATGCCACCAGAGCAAAGGTCTCCTGGGAACGGCTCAGCGCTTCTCAGTGTCCCTTTCCCTCTTTTCTCCTGAAGGTGCAGGTCACCAGAGTGGGAAAAAATCCTGGCTTTGGAGACAAATGCTGTTATCAGGAAGATGAATTTTAAATGGGAAGTTAATGTAGGTTGTTACTATCTTTATCAAGCCCTTTGCCTCCTTTTTAAGAAGTCTGGTTTGGAAAAAATTAATTATTGGCAGGGTAGTGCCCTCCTTCCAAGCACCACATTGCTTCTACCAGAGCACATGCCCTAAGGTAGCATGGGAAAGGTTATGTATCCTGCCCCAAGAGAATTTCCATTAAGCAAAAGAAATCTTTTTTCCCAATTATTTCCATCACTGCCAAGTGGGGGAAAACCCACAGCGTGTGTGAGTACTGGTCCGAAGGACAGCCCCGGGCACCCACCAGGCTGACAGCTCCTGAGACTCTCGGGGTTCACACCAAAGCAGGGGTCTTCTAACACCAGGGTCAACAAACACGTTAAACAAGTTTAAACTAAAGTTGCTGCCGAAAGGGGTGCTGCAGTCCTCTGCCAGGCTGTCCTACCTCAGGCAGCATACGAGTTTGTGCAGCTTTGTCGTGGAATCGCCATGTAGCCAGCTGGAAGGGACCCAGCCATCCGCCCAATACGCAGCCAGGCCAGCTCGCCCTTTGTGTATCATCTCCAAGGACGGAGATCCCACCACCCCCCCGCATCCCTGTTGCAGCCTGTGACCACTCATCACAGATTTTCTTTTTTCCCCCCCTATACCTTATCAGAACTTGTTGCAACCCATGTTCTTTGAGAGGCTGGGAAGGTGGCAGGTTACAGAGCATGAGGAACCACACCTGACCCTGGGTCAGAGCATCCAAGCAGCGTTCCTAGCTTGAAACACGGTCAACTCCAGGCCAAGGAATTAAAGATGGCAAATGTCTGGGATTTCAGCCATGTTTTTGTTTTATTCCCCGGTTGCCTCAGAAAAAGGCCTTACAAACAGCAGCAGAAAAAGCAAATGAAAGAGTAAAGCCACAAACTCTCCTGCTTTCTGCTTCTATCAGCTGAAGAGGCTGCCCAAAATCCTGCACCGCCTGTGCACAGAGTGGGGGAGCCAGGAGAGGCCAGCGAGGGCCTGGACCACAGGCAGAGCTGCCCAAGGTACGGCCGGTGCTATCAAGGAACAGACAAATCCCTAACAGTTTGTGGGCAAAACCTCACGGGTTCTGCAGGGAACCACAGTTTCTGGGGACACCTGGGTCAGGCTTTGGTTTCTTTTGCTGTAGGAATGAGGAGGGTCCAGCTCCTCCCTCCACGCTGACAGTCGCATGTTGGGATGTACTGTAAAACTGGTGTCTGCCATCGTTGTTTGATTGGATAAAACCTAGGGTTTTTGTTATGCCTTTCCCTATTTCACTACAGCCGGTCTTCACTCTCCCTGGCCCTCAAGTCACCAGGCCAACGTACCCACATTTCATCAGGGAACAAAGGACAAAAGTGGATCTTCTCAGAAACCGTAAATGCACCAGTGTCAGCCCAAACTCCTCCACCCGCACATCCTCCCTCCAGCAGTCGCTTACCCTCCAGTGAATTGCCAGCCCGGCCTTGCTCCAAAGAGCCTGGCAACTCCCTTCTGCCCATGAGCTCAATGCAAAATTACAGAGTTGTCGCTTCATTAAACGTTTCGGACAGCAGGACCATGGTGGAAAACAGACGTGGTTCACAATTTCTTTTGGCTGGCCTTGATGCTGACCGGGCATTTTGGACCTTGCAAGGACAGGCTAGGAGACTTCTCCTTTCCCAAGGTCCCCCTCCATAAGGTTTTACTGCCTTCACTAGCAGGCGCTTTAACAGCAGCAGAGCAGGTAGGAAACTGAAGTCTTGACAAAGCAGCAGTTTGTTGTTAAATCATGTGCAAATACAGGTGATCTCTGAAGATCCCACTCTAACACAATGCACGTTTTATGCTTCACAAGCGGGAAGAGATACATTCCTAAGGCATGACTCTGCTGTGTGCTGAGGCAGCACCGAAGACTCAGCCCAAGCCATGCTCCTGGCTTAAGCTAGAGCAAACACAAAGGTTTCGTTTCACCAAACCAGCTCACAATTGCTCTGCATCTAAGCAGCCGTCAACTACAGCTGCTTAGGAATTGCAGTGCCTTGTGTACTAGAAAATAATGCATTAGATGCATATAGTTTAGAAATATCACTCCAGGTGCACACCTCCTCCAGTTCAGTTTGGGATGGGATTTATTTGGAGCCTTGAGTTTTCCTCTGTACAGAGGCTCCAGCTCATTCAGCACCTGGTGTGTCTGACACAGCAGCAGACGATTCCTCACTGCAGCCAACCCTCCTGCTGCACTGGCTTCTTCCTACAAGGACTTGGGCAGATCCTGCTAAATAATCCAGACCCCATTCAACAAATTTTAGCAGCCCAGCTAGTGCGTATACCGCACTCTCTCCCACACACCCCTAGCAGCAGTAGCAGAACTGGGTTTTTTCCTCCCCCAATTCCTGCAACGCACACCGCTTTAGAGTCCTGCTCACCGTAGCAGAGCTCCAGCCAGGAAGCCTGTAAGAATAACTTTGAGTTATTTGCAAAACTGAAGAGACACTAGCAAGAAAGAAGTTGATCAAGTACTGGCACCGCTTTGCAGAGGAGGAAAACATATCTTGCAGAACATTGGTTTGAGACCAAGGCTCATACAGTTCAGCATCTCGGGAACAATTTGATCCCCTTTCTCTTTGGAAAAATGGACCTAAATTAACATTCGTGACTTTGTTTTCCAGGAAGCTCTGTTAGGGCTGAGGTAAACTGCAACCATAATGCTGCTGTTAATAGGGCTTTTAATAATATCTGAGAGTCAGCTAAAGCATTCTTATTACCAGGATAATTTCGCTTCACTTCTAATAGAGCTTTCCACAGCCTGGAAGACCACACGTCATCTGTTGTGCTAGGCTGCCCCCAGGGAAAATCCAGCCTTTGCTGGAAATAGAACAAGATTTCCCCAGCATCTCTGGAGAACTTTGGTTCTATCTGCACCTCCCAGCTGTACCACTGTAACAGCTAGCGCAAGCTTTCAGGTGTGAGAGCCAAGTGTCAAATCGTGTGAAGTACAATGATTTCAAGCATCAAGCCTGAAACACACAGAACTTCTCCAGAGGTTAAACAGGTAAATGTGCTATAGCTGAGCTTAAGTTCCTTACATCCTCATTGGATGAATCCCTAAGATGGTGCTTGTGAGGCCCCCCTTAAAAGTTTTGCAAAAAAAAAATATGCTCATTTTGAATAAGCAAGACTAAACTTTTTGCTCTTTCCTCACTCTGCTTTTCAACACATGTACTTACATCCTTACCTGAATCCACACCATGATGGGTACGGACACCTCTTCCCGACAGGTTTGCTATCCCAAGTTGCCTTTCCTTCAGGAAGGTGCTATTAGTAGGGCAAACTTCTTGTGTCTATGAGGAGCAGCTCTTCATTTGCAGGTTAGGTTGGCACTCCAGCAGGGTGCAGTTACTAGCAGAAACAGCCAGGATATTCACTGCTAAACACAAGTTTGGCAGCTCAGCCAGGTTTTAGGGTCCATTTCCTGACAAGCAGTAGCACTGGATTTACAGAATGCCCGTAGAAATGGAAATACCAACACTTAAACAGCTTCTTTTTCCATCAGAGAATACACCAGGACCCAGAACATATGTAGAAAGGGGCTGTAGGACTTTGCTTACCCAGCTCTCCCAGTGTCACCACTCAAGGAATCCAGAGATCCAAAAAATACAAGACTGGGCCCTTTACAACTCCCTGAAGCAGAGGGGACCACAGGATTCCACCCACAACTAACAGATTTGCTCCTCTTCAGTAATGAAATAAAGCACAAAAGAAATCCAGCTCAAGAACTAGAATGTGTTTACTTGTCCTGATCACCAGATGAAAATCCACAACATCCTCTGCTTCGAGGCAGGAGAAAAAGCTGAGCAAAGAATTCAATCTGTTCTCCAACAGAAAGCCCTCAATGCCACCTAGGCCAGAGGTTCCTCCTGCTAGTAACAGGCTAAAGGAAAGGCCAAGGCTGGGCCCACAAAGCTGTTCTCCCCTGGCTCCTGCAGGCCCTGGGAACGCTGACTGGGCAGCCACACCTTGGATTTCATTTCAAACAGGGACCAGTCAGAGCCCTCTCATCCCACAAGCGCATGCAGCTACTCTAGCAGAGGGTTAAGAGGCAGGCAGCCTCCAAAGGTATTTTCAAGCATCAGTACGTTTTCATGTCCTGGCTGCAGCGGTTCCGGGGAAGCTGGCCCCATTACTACACCATTTGCCATAACAAAGGGCAACACCCGCTGCTCTGAGCTCCACACTTGGCACTGGCAAGAAGAGAGCTCACAGGAAGCTTTACACAGGCCGCAAGTTAGCAAGCTTCGCTCTTTACTGGAGTGCTGGCTTGAGGCAACTCCACTTCTCTAAGCTCAGTGCTGCTGCAAGCAAATGATTTCAGGGCAGCAAATGGGAAACAAGCATCTTCTAGCTTAAAACTTTGTGTAAGAGCCATTACTTTGGTTGATGCAGAGGGTAAGCGGTGCCCGGCCAAACTAATGCAGCATGGGATAAGGACAAATTAAGCCAGCAATACTGTTTGCAAACAACTGGGTCTTTTATTAAGTATTTAAGGTGCTACAAAAAACTTATGAAGTCTTCATATGGCAACTTCTTTTCTGCAGCCTTAGCTCTGTTAAAAAAAGCAAATACAGCTCATTAGCAGAGAGTCTTTTAGTAAATAGTCCAATACATCAAGTTTGAGATACTTACAGCCGGGCACTCAATTGCACCATTATTGATGTCATCAATGATATCATGTGGGTGCCTGCCATCAATGCTGCAGCCCACAGACTGGGCAGTTCCAAGAATCTCCTTGATCGTCCCTGCAGTGGGAAAGTAGAGCTTGTCAGTGCTTTACCACGGGAAAAACTTTGAAGAACATATGAAGAACTCTTTGCGCACCATAGCTGTCCCTCCCTCCCTCTGGGGTTTGCAGGCTGTAGCCACGGGGTTCACCAGGGGACAGTAAGCCACTTAAACCAGGCCTAGTGTCCTGGTTTCCACAGAATGCACCAGAAATGACGTGTACCTTTCACCATCCTGTGCTGCCTTCACCAGAAGGTATGAGGCTGGCTGCTCACAGCCAGCACAAGGTTGTTCCTGCAGTGCTCAGCACCCAAGTGGCCAAGCCACACGAGGAGCTCCACCACCACCCCCCACAGCTACGGGGCCCTCCCAGGGATCAGACCAGAACCCGGCTCACGCTCTCAGAGCAAATGGAGGGAGGACTCCATGCAGCCCCATCACCGGTACTTACCTGAGAGCTCTCGAGCCAGGGATCTGTGCCGCATCTGCCGTGCAATGTTCACTATCTCATCAAAGCTGACGCTGCCACTGTGCTTAACTGTGAAGGAAAGAAATAGCCCCAGTGAGTTCATATAAACATGGGCACTTGCAGTTCCCTGTGCTTTGTTAGAGAAGCACCATTCCCAGCACTCGGACCACAGGGAAACCAGAGTTTACAACTACAGCGGGGCTGCGATCAGTACGTCTGTTCCCAGACTTCGGCACAAAGTTACCCACAAGAAGAATAACTCTGTTTCCTAAGTTGGCATTTTCTGTCAGCTCACCTCTGGACTGTACTAGTCACCGCATTACAAGACAGGTACCGTGGCAGGTAGCTGTTCTACCCCATCTTCCAAGAAACTGAACTCTGCTGGCATACAAACTGCTGCCTGTACTATGACACTTAAGGAATGCCAGCTGCCCAAGATACAGCCCCATTACACTTGTTTGCCAGTTTATGCTGAATAAGCTAAGAGGCAGGTATCTATTCCCCTCTTAGCCCCAAAACATATTTAGAACTAAAGACAGATGAAAACTTACTGTTTTTCTGCTTCTTCCTGTCACGAGGAGGCTCCTTCAGAGCTTTGATAATCAGAGCAGAGGCAGAAGGAACAACCTCTATCTAAATGAAAAGAGATTAATTCTTCCCCCCCTCTAACCAGAATTAGATAGCTAATGAAGATACTCAACCAAGCAGTCAGTGCCTGAAAAGCTAATTGCCAGAGCACTGCGTTTTTAGTTAATTCACTAGTACACGAGGCTTTTTTGTGATGCAAAAACTTGTTCCCAGCCTTTCGGCACAGGCCTCCCCACAACCAGAAGAGGACTGCTTCCTGGACTGGTGCTTCCTCTCAGCTCACCACTGGAATATACCAGCCACGGAATTCAGGACAGGTATAGTGGCAGGTGGCTACAAGATTAGTTAAGAAGGTTTTTTGTAATTTCTATATTGCTTGAAATAGTTTTTTTCCAGTCACACGTTCTGTAGAAAAAAACAATCTATCTGTAACAGAATAAAAAATTTGACTTCTGCACATGAGCAGATCTCTTCCCATTGCTCACAGGCTGGCAAGCCCCAGGCTTCATACACACACATTGCTGAATCGCTGCCAGATTTGAGCCAGAGGCTGCACGGCAGTATCACACAAATGTTTCAAGGTCTTTCCCAGAAGACCCCCACACATTTGTTGTGTGGAACTCATTTTATCCACCTCGGAAGGATGAAGGGCTGAGTCGACCCTGCCAGGATTTAAGCTTGTGGTTGGAGCAAGCAGAGCTCATTTGTGCTTGATGCTTGCACCACTAAGCCATCCCTTCTGGCGTTTAGTACCTGAGCTTGCCTGTTCTGGATGGTGAGCTTCACCGTGATCCTCAGCCCCTTCCAGTCACCCGTGGCTTTGGCAATATCATCACCAACCTTCTTGGGGGACTAAGGAAGAAGAGACACATTATCATCACAAAAAAACATCCCTTGGATCACAGCAGAGCATCCCCGTACTACACAGTACCCCACGCTCACCACAGTTTCTTTCGCGGCACTGCAATAGCACTAAGGACCTGCTCTTCTCCCAGGCCGAACTGCGGGGTGAGGGCAGCCGCCCAGAAG